ATTTAGATTTGAACTTCCATGGTAAACTGGAAAACACAAGTGGAGATAATGGTATTTGCATAACCTTTCACACAGTAAGAAGTTGCTAATGCTCATGTTAATTAAAATAGTTGTAACAGTTCCAAATTTAAACCTATTATTGTTTGTAAAAAGTTAAACGTAGTGCATAATATGGAGATCCCGTCATTACTTTTTTTCACCATGTTTCTTTTTGATTATTTATGTACAGCCTTGCTAAATCTTGCTAAGCATTCAAAAGTAAGAATGTTTGTACCATGTATATTTTATAATCATCTTTTGAGTATGTTCCACTATTCACAATGCTGTGAAATTTTAACAGTCTATAGCCAAGACTGTTTGGATAATAAAAAGCAAAAAAAAAAAGAAAATTCACTCTCAAGTGCCCTCGAACCTGCATCTATACCTTAATGTGTTACAATACTCTCAGCACATGGGAGTTCTTTCTAAGCTTTCTTTGATTTTTACATGATTTGACCTGAAAAAATGTCCTCTGACCTAACAAGTCAAGTCAGTCATTAACCAACCAAAATGCCGTGTCTTATTGAAAAAATTTTCCAATTACTGACAATGTCTTATTTTAACAATTGTTAGCAGTGATTTTGACGAAAAGTAAAGTACCTGTAACTATGATATAGTCCAATATTTTAGGATTTGTTGTCATATCAACTGATTTAAAAAAAATCATTTTTCATAGTGAATACAATACTCAGTGCAAAATTAAGTTCAGGCATCATCCACAAAATAGTTCCATTTATAGTCTGTACTTTTCCACATGAAATGTTGCGAACATTTTCAAATTTGTTGATCAAATACTATTAGCGAGGTCAAATTTTGTCTGTTTGGTACAAAATTAAGATTGAACTCAGTGAAATTTACAGAAAATGTGACAAATTTACCCAAATTTAAGCGGGAAAAAATAAGGTTAATAAAAAATAGAAATGTAACATTGAGTTATTACGTCATAGTCATTACACATCGACAGATTCAATATAGCTATACACATGGATATGTTTGTAAGGTGATATTTGCATATGCATAGTTTTTTAAATATTTAGTACCTACTATTCATGGAGGTTTCTTGCTCAATAGCTGGTTACACATTAAAATTTTTTGCTTTCAGCTTTTAAGACAGTTTGACTATGATTGTCAGCAATGGAATGATTTATATGAAGACTTTCTGGCAAGCGAGGAGCATGCTCAGATGAAAGCTAACTATTCTGTGAGTATTAATCTTCATTATTCTAATGTGCTAGCAATGGCATCTATAGTGTATGGGAATAATTTAATTATCACTATTTGGTGTTTTTTTCTGAAAAATACAATACCTTGTTCAGCTTTTGGGCAATCTGTCTTATTAGTTCCTGTTTGTATGCAGCTCAAAAACTGGGAATTATGGATTGCTCTCAAAAACTGGGAATTATGGATTGCTCTCAAAAACTGGTAATTATGGATTGCTCTCAAAAACTGGGAATTATGGATTGCTCTCTGTGCATGTGTGTGTGCATTTCATCTGTATCTCAAACATGCCTGGATGGCATAATTATTAGGGTCACAAATTAATTGTTTTCAACAATGCCAATCAATAATATCAAGTGCGTCATCCTGCTTTTGTGGATTTTTTCTTCTGGAAGTATCATGCTGTCAGCCAAGACTTCCTCTCCCGCTTTCTTTCATGTGTCTTTCTTGAATAATTAGATGAAGCTGATTATTGATTTTCTAATGCAGCTTCAAAAATCATTTGACACATTGTATTGTTTGCAAACTGACCTTGAACTATGACCTTGTGTTACATGATTTGGTTACTTATCATACTTGAACTGATTTTAAAAAATTAAAATTACTAGCTTTATATCATGGAATGGAAGTTCAAGGGTGGTAGTTATTTCGACGTGCTTGTGCAAGATATATGGGTCTCATATAAACAAAGATGACAACTTTGCTTTAATTAGGTATTTTTTTAGGAGATTGGAGGGTATCGAAGGGGTCATCGACAGTAATTAGTGAAAGTATCGCTCAGGTCAAACCTCATACCGGTACTTGTGATTCCATAAGAAGAGCGCATTGAATTGTGGGAAAATCAATGTTTTTCAACACAAATGTCACACATGCGCAGAATGACAACCACCGCCTTTTCAGCTAAAAGTGAAAGAAATAAACATGAAAAAATGTATTTATGGTGTTTATCATGCATGTGTATTAATCATTTCGGGCAATATACAACTAATTAGAATCGCTATAATAGCTAATACATAGCTCTGTATTATATATATATATATTTTTTATTGTAGGAATTCGTAGAGTTCGTCGGTAATGAGACTGGACTGTACTCAAACTTGACATTTGACAACATTGGTCTTGTGAATGATGTCATTGTATGTGAAGTAAGTTTTAAAAAGTTTGACTTTGAAATCTGGGTAATTGTTTTGACTTTCTTAGAATCTGTTTCATCAATAATTTGACCTTAAGCTTTAGGCTGAAATCTGAATCAATATGCATTTTTAAAAAAAAATTCATGACTAATTCAATAATTTTTAGTTTTAGTTGTTATATTTTTATGTTCAGATGTATTATTTTGTTTTTTTAACAGGAAGCTGACAATCGGACTATTGCAGACTGGATTGGCAACAACACAAGAGAAACATTACAGTACCTTGCAGATTACAATATGTATAGCTATTATTCAACGCCTGAAATGGCAAAATTGAAAGGAGGTAAAACAGATTCACTTCAGTAACGTTATTAGAATCTGACAGCAAATAAAAGTAGAATATAATTGTCAGTAAAATTCGGTATTGGTTCGTGCAAAATCGTTTATTTGAATTTTTTGATTAGAAATAATTATATTTGTTGCCACGGCAACAATTGTATCATGCGACTGAAATTTCATGTGACTGCAAATGTACTTCACAAAATCATAAAAGTTACGCGAGAGAGAACGAATAGAGGATTGTCATATTAAAACCTCAAATAGTTTCTTCAATAAATACAACACGATATCACAGAGATTATTCTGAAAAAAAAAACTTTAATTATTATTATTATTTATTATAGGTATGATTGTTGGAAAGTTTGTGGAGAATATGAAGAATAAGACGAGGGGTGATCTTCTCCCAGATAACAAATACCGAATGATGATGTATTCTGCTGTGAGTCACTTTCTTTCTATGTCCTGATTTTAAAGTGTGACACGTAATGAACAAAGCATGTTAGAATTGTGTGCATTCTGTCGCTATGCAGGGATGTGCTTTCTTACATTGATGGCTGATAACGAATTTATCGCAAACCTTGAATTTTCATGACCATGACGTTTTCTTAGGCTAGCTGTAGCTAGGCATTTGGTCATGCCATTGACATCTGCATAAACTGTATTGACAGCAAAATAATCATTTTATCGAAGACCCTGAAGGGCTAATCTGCACTGGCTCGGAAGGTTGTAAATGATTAGCTAGTTTGAATTTCTAATTTGCATAACATTACTGAGAATGAACGTGCATTCAACGCCACAAGTCTTTTGTTTTTTTAGCCAATCAGAATTCATCTTCCGAGCCAGTGCAGATCAGCAGACCCTGAAGGCTGGATGGTCACAAAAAACAAACGTTAAACAATTCTTTATCTCATGAGGGCGCTATATTATTTCCGTTGCAGAATGACATCACAATAGCTAGTATGACGTCCACTATGAATATTTATAACTGTCAGTTTTCCACTGTTTTGTCTTGTGTTTAAAATCTTCCTATAGGGCCAGTAGTACCATTAGGTGGTGCCCCATTCAGCAAAATATTTATTTTAGTTGTCAAAAAAACTGAAAAGCTGGAATGGTGACTAAAAACAAAAATCTGATGAGGGCGCTATACCATTTCTTTTGCAGCATGACATTACAATAGCTGGTATGATGTCTGCTATGAATATTTCTAATGGTCGGATACCACCGTTTGCATCATGTCTTATGTTTGAACTCTACCTAGAGGAGGATGGGTAAGTCTGAACAGTGGTGGCAGTGGAGGGTA